CGGTCGTTCAGTTGAGGTCATCTGCACGTCTCATGAGTTGCATTTCAAATGACCTTGCTGTTGAAACAATGCAACCTGGACTAAATTATTACTACTTGTTGAAGCACATCTTCAACGAAGACCATCCTCATAAAGTCATGCACCTACTCAAGAACTGCATCTGTTCATCAGTTGAGGCTGACAAACAGGAAAATCGCAAAGCAGAACAAAAAATTCTCTGCCTAGAAGGGTGGCAATATCTCTTGTTGATCGATTGAGCAATGCGCCATATGGATGTCTCGTTAATTTTGTTCTGTTAATATTGTTATTTTGTATTGTTTATTTGATTTTGACATAATCCATTTAATAGTTATTTGTTTAAATCTAATTTAAACTTTGCTGTTAATAAATTGTTCATAATAAATTGTACATACAAATTGTCTTTAACAAATTATGGTTTTGATCTTCAACCAAAACACCATTCCATGAATGCTAGTTGATAAATCTACAAAATAACGACTAATTAATAATTATTTAATAAACAGTCAACTTTTTCCGTATAATGTACTACTGAGCATTCGACCAGGTTTGAATGAATTTTAGTTTTTTTTACGAACTACGCGTGTGATCCAAATTTATCCAAAGGTTTTTATGTACTTGTAAAACTGAGTTTGAAAATAAAATTGCATACAGATTTATGAGCATGAACTGGACACTTGGTGGTGGAATGACAGTGTACAAAATGCAATAGCTGAAAAGAAAGTTGCATACAAGCAATGGCAAAAATCAAATTCTGTTGATGACCATAAAATTTTCCGTGAGAAGAACAACTATGCAAGACGTCAAGTTGCACTGGCTCGGATAGATCAGTGCAGAGAGTGGCTCACTAAAAGCAAAGGTGAACAAATGAAATCTCTGTATCGTATAGCAAAGCGTACGAAAAAAGACATAGTTGGTGCCTCATGTATCAAAAACGACAAAAATGAGATGATTCTTGAACAAGATGAGATCAAGCTACAGTGGAGAAAATACTTCAACCGTCTGTTAAACGAAACAAATCCCATCAATATTAACTTTGACACTCCACCCATCGAAGGTCCGATTTCAGACATCACTGTAGAGGAGGTAACAGAAGCTCTGAAAGCTATGAAGGATGGAAAGGCAGCAGGGCCCTCTGGACTCACAAATGACATTATCAAAGCATCTGGTACTGCAGGTATCCAAACGTTACTACAACTTTGCCGTGAAATCTGGAGAAATTGCTCAATGCCGACTGAATGGAACTATAGCATGACAGTCCCGCTATACTAAGACAAAGGCGAACCATTGAACTGTTCATCATATCGGGGTATACGTCTGTTAGAACACTCCCTGAAAATTGTCGAGAAATCATTGAGAGAAGATTAACGTCGTGCATCACAATCGGAAATTATCAATTTGGTTTCCTAGCGGGGAAATCAACAATTGATGCAATTCACATCCTTCGTCAACTGCAAGAGAAGTACCTCGCAAAGCATCAACAACTATCAAACATTTTTGTAGACCTTGAAAAAGCATTTGATTGAGTTCCCCGTGAAGCAATCAGGTGGAGTCTACGTCGACAACTCATTCCAGAATATCTTGTTCGACTTGTGATGGAAATTTATACGAATACTAAGACTCTTGTCAGCACAACGGTTGGAAACACAGATGCATTTGACATCGGCGTTGGAGTTTACCAAGGCTCGATTCTCAGTCCACTGTTATTTATAACTGTGATCTAAGAAATCACAAAACTGATACGCACTGGTGACATTTGGAATCTAATATATGATGATGATATCGTTTTAACAGCCACGTCTGAGCAGAATGCAGCACAGATGTTTGAAGATTGGAACACCAGACTCGCCGATCATGGATTCAAAGTCAACATCAGCAAAACCAAAGCAATGAACACTGGTGAACCCATCCAATCCACAGTTACTGGACGATGGCCCTGTTCGGTTTGTAAAGCTGGTGTAGGTAACAATTCAATCAAGTGTCAGCAGTGTAACCAGTGGTGTCACAAACGTTGTTCAAAAATAATTGGTACTTTATCTAAAGTGTCCAATTTTGTTTGTCCTGCTTGCATCAATCCACAACAACAAATTCGAAATAGCAATGTTTTTGAAGCCAATTAAGGTAGAGAAAGTCATATCGTTTCAATATCTAAGGGATATTTTAGATTGTACTGGAACAGCTGAAGCTGCCGTTCGAGCACGCATACGTGCGCAGCCTGGAATAAATGCATCTCCTTGCCTCTATATTGATGCGGCGTGACATCCCACTACCATTACGATCAAGACTTTATAAATTTGTGATACGTCCGGTTTTGTTATATGGTGCAGAAACATGGCCTATGACAACCAAACTGGAACAACAACTTCAACGAACCGACATGAAAATGCTCCGATGGAAGCAACGAATTAGTCTGAAGGACCACATCAAATCTACCAAAATCCTGCGTCGTGCTGGTTTAGATGATATAAAGGACGAATGCCGGCAACACCGTCTGCGGTGGTTTGGTCATGTTAAACGAAGTAGAAACAGTGCCATAACTTCTCTTGCTGATGTTGAAGTACCTGGCAAACGTCCCAAAGGCCGTCCAAAGAAGTCCTGGTCGCAAACATTCGAACAAGACATGAAAGCTCTAAATTTAAATGAAATGGATACAACTGATCGTCTAATTTGGCGCAAAAAGTTGATGGCAAAGAAAACAACGTCCTACCTCGGAGAACCGGGTCTCTGGACGCAAAACGAAGATTGATTGATATACAGATTTATGAGAGAAATTTTACTGGGGAAGTTATTCAACTGCATCAGTCTAAAAAATAACATCATTAATTCATTTAATTCAATGGACATTTGCGGAAGAAATGTTATTTCAAAGAACTCAATTTTCAGATTGACCTGCGTGTGACTTAATTATATGAATAAGTCTCGAGGATAATATTTTTGAGCAGGATTGTTAACCTTTAAGTATCGGTATCGCGTCAGAAGTATTGCCGATACTTTTTAATGTAAGTAACGCAACGGTCATAACCTGCAGTGTATTGAATGATAAAGTATGGCTGTGAAAGTGAACGAATTAATACATGTTGTGTATGCATGCGCTCAGGTGAGAATGAAGTACAACTGCGTATGCATGTACTGGGAATGAATTGACATGGACATGGAGAGAATGGGAACGGTATGTGAAAATTGGAACGTGTGGCTACATTAGAGATTCGAATGACTGTTAGACGTAACTTTAGTTAATATATTTTCTTTTATTAATAAAACATAAATTGAAGAAGTTTAATTTCGTAATAGAAATAAAGAATATTAGAAATTTGTTGTTGATTAAAATTCTAAAAGATTATTTCAGAAATAAAGAATTTTAAGATAAATTTAAGTTGAAACGCAACAAATTGGCGACGAGGATGGGATAACTAGAAAAATAAATAGAATAAATATAACCGATACATTTAAGAGCTGTCGATATTCGATACCGACTTCAAATCAAGTTGAAAATATCGCGCTTTATAATTTTTCACAATATTCATTTTTTGATTATTTTTATTTTATGGTCGTCAGATATTCGATACCGACTTCAAATCAAGTTGAAAATATCGCGCTTTATAATTTTTCACAATATTCATTTTTTGATTATTTTTATTTTATGGACAAGACAAAGAGCGCTTTTTTCAATGGCAACGTTTATTTTTCAGTTTTCTTAACGTTATGTGGCAAATTTTATTTTGAAATCGTCTGAGACGAATAGACGATAAAATGCATAGAAGTAGAGAAATTCAGCTACCAGAGATGGGCAGTAATGTAATTCAAGTAACAAAATTACGTAATTCAAATTAAGTAGTTTTTAAATAATTGGTAATTTAGTAATTTCATATTTTATGTAATTTGGTAATTTCAAAGTAATTTCAAATTACATTTTGACTAAAAAATACCGTTTTTATATGAGTGAACAGATATACTTACACAAATTATTATCATTATTATTATTGAACAATTTTTTTCTTGAAATTCTAAAAATTTTTTAAATTCTAAAAATTTATTTGTTTAAAAATTTAATTTGCTACTTTGAAGTTTTATGGTCATATAGCTACATCAAAGAAGTTTATGTTTGACGCTTCTTTTTTTCTTTCTTTCCTTCTTTTTTTCCTTCTTCCTTTCCTTCCTTCTTTCTTCAGTCGTTCATTAAACGATTGAACACATTGTTGATCGAAAGAATGACATCAAAGAATATGCAAAATCAAAAGTAGTGGTGAATAGTGTCTCCATTCTTTCAGTCATTTGTTTAATGATTGAACAAATTGTTGATAGAAAGAAAGTAACTTAATGAATGAATATTGTTATAACCGTGCAACCGAACGCACTAGAACATTCTAGAATATGCTAGAATCGGACCATCTAGAAGAATCTAGAAACGACGCTTGCGAAGAGTATATAAGCGCACGTCGCAAGGAGGTTAGCGATTAGTGAAATTCGTGATTTTGTAAATTCGTGACTCTGTGATTTTGTGAATAGCGATTCGGTGAATTATTTAAAGCGATATTTGATTTGTTTTGTTGACGTTGTCATAGCGATAGATTTTGAACAATTTAAAAGTTAATTGTTGTGTTAATTTGCATTTGCTAGAAATAAACGTTGATTTCTTCTGTAAATAAAGTTTAATACCTAATAACTGTTTGGAGTATTTTATTCAATCGAAGATTTGAACCCGTCGCATCGTAAATCGGTTACGACAGCGAGTATTATAACATTGATGTCAGAAGTGGGATCTTCGACCAGCGAATTACTACTCATAGAAAAAGAACACGATGTCAAAACTGTGTGGTTTGAACGTAGTTCAGCTACGAGAAGAACTACAGAAACGAAGCCTTGTCACTAGTAGCACGTCTGAGAGAAGCTCTCATTGACGAAGGTAAGAACCAGACGAATTCAAGTTTGATGGTGCTGACGAAGACAATGAAATTAGCACAGGCACGTTTACAACCGCTAAAATGATGGAACTTCTGCTTAGTATGTCAACTGAAATGAAACAGATCAAAGAACAGTCCGAACAACAGTCCGAACGACAGACAGAGGAGTTAAAACAGATCAAAGAACAGTCCGAACGACAGTCCGAACGACAGACAGAAGAGTTAAAACAACAGATCAAGGAACAGTCTGAACGACAGACAGAGGAGTTAAAACAGATCAAGGACCAGCTAAAACACGTAAAATTGGAAGTGGCAGAACAGATTGAAGAACAGTCAACAAGAATAGAAATGATCGAGCAGAAACTTGATCGTCAGACCGTTGAGGTAGATCACAAGATAGACAAATTGAAGCGAGAATTGGAGCAATCCAAAAAAATGACCATGCCGTTAGATCACGCATTCGGAAGAACTTTGAAGGTACCAGCATTTGACGGAGAGATGTCCTGGAACTATAAAACCCAGTTCGAAGCAGCGGCAACTAGTAACTGTTGGAACTGAAAAAAACGAGCAACAGCACTGATACTGGCCCTGCGAGGTTCAGCAGCAGAGGTTCTTCAGACGATTCCGGCGGAGAACCACTTCAACTATGAAGTTCCGGTTAGCGCGTTAGATTTACGTTATGGTGAAGAACACATGAAACAGATTTATCGGTTTCAGCTTAGAAACAGAACACAACAATCTGGTGAATCCATTCAGCAGCTGGCACAAGATATCGAACGGTTGACATTGCTGTCGTATCCGACATCAGACCCCGAGCATAGAGACGAAACTGCCCTGGATACGTTTATCAAAGCCCTTCATGATTCGGAACTCAAGCAATCCCTTTTTTTGTCAGATAAACGAAAACTCAAGGATGCCGTTGCGTACAGTCTCACTTTTGAATCGGCAAAGCAAGCATCAAAAAGTGACGTACGTCTACGCCAAGTAAATGAAGAATGCTCTTGCCAGAAGGTGGTTGTGAAACGCAAACCCCAACAGCATGGTGTACCCCAATGATGGATTTGTAGTGAAGAAGGCCATCTACGTCGTGATTGTAAACACCGCCTAAAAGATAACTACTGCCGAAATTGCGCGACAAGATGGCACAAAAGAAGAGAAGATGATCCTGTATCACGATCGGCCCCTTCTAACGAAGGGGCGGGAAAACTAATAAGAGCCAACTTTGTGGGGCAGAGGTTGGCTAGTAGAATTGACGCCCCCAGTACCGTAATTAACGTTTCAAGACTACATCGAAATCGAAACAACCTATGACTGAACGGAAAAGTTGATCAACGAGAATGTGTAACTACAGTCGACACCGGAGCAACAAAATCGATTTTAAGATCTGATTTGGTACCCAATCTGAAGAAAGAGACTTCTAACAAATACATCCTTCGAACAGCTACCAAAGGAACAACTCATAGTAATGCTATGAGAGTCAAATAAAAATGCTGATGCTCTCTCACGTCGACCATGTTTACCAGGATGCAAATATTGCTGTCGTCACGAGGAGAAGATACAATCGGAAGACATAAGAGCAACAACAATATCAGCGGATGACGGTTGGACATCGACGGATCTTGCTGATGCACAGTTTTCGGATGAGGACTTACAACATCTGATCACATGAAAGAAGGAGGGCAAGCGACCGGACTGGCAAAGCATCTCAGAATATAGTGCCGTGTTAAAGGGTTATTGGGATCAGTGGGACTCATTGTATTTGGAAGGAGATTTGCTGAAACGAAAATGGGAATCAGCTGATGGATCAAAACACCGCATGCAAGTTGTAATACCAAGAAGTAGAACGACCAAAATCCTTGATGAAATGCATGGCGGCCCTTCTGGGGGACATTTAGGAGTGAAAAAGACCCTTGACAAAATACGATAAGGATTCTACTGGCTTCACGTTAGAGAAGATGTAGAGAGCTGGTGTCGAAAATGTAACACATGCGCTTCAGTTAAAGGACCCAAAAGAAGGCTAAAAGGAACAATGCAAATCTACAATGTTGGTGTCCCCTTTGAACGAATTGCTATAGATATTGCTGGACCCTTTCCGGTATCAGATTATGGAAACCGTTACATTCTGGTTGTAGCGGACTATTCCAGCAAATGGCCTGAGGTGTTTCCAATACCCAACCAAGAAGCATGTACCGTCGCTGTGGAAATTGTACTCAATTGGATTAGTCGATATGGTGTCCCATTGGAACTCCACTCAGATCAAGGTCGAAATTTTGAGTCACAACTGTTTGGTGAAATGTGCAAGCTGCTGGGTATAAACAAAACTCGAACGACACCTCTTCACCCACAGTCTGACGGTATGGTGGAACGATTTAACCAAACCCTGATTGAACATCTGGCTAAAGTAGTCGACGAAAATCAACGGGATTGGGATCGTCATATACCATTGTTTCTTATGGCATACCGGAGTGCTATCCACACAACTACTGGAGAAACGCCATCAAAAGTTCTGTTTGGGACTACCTTAAGAACTCCAGCTGATGTGAAATATGGCGTACCACCTGAACCACACCAACCATTAACAGAATACGTGGATAATCTTCGACAGCGATTAAACCATATCCACCGTTACGTACGCCTTAAAATTATGAAAAACACGGAGGCGGCCAAAACCAGATACGACTTGAAAGGAAGCAGTGGCGGTTTTGCTGTCGAAGAGTTAGTTTGGCTGTACAACCCACAGCGAAAGAAAGGACGTTCTCCAAAGCTCCAGCGAGGGTGGGAAGGACCTTATCAAGTCATCACCCGCTTGAATGACGTCGTCTACCGTATTCAGGAATATCGGAAGCCGAGAGCAAGAACGAAGATCGTTCATTTGGATAGACTGGCTCCGTACCATGCGGACACCGGAACGAAAGCTGTTCGGAACGAACAGAACTAAGAAGGGGGTAATGTTATAACCGTGCTACCGAACGCACTAGAACATTCTAGAATATGCTAGAATCGGACCATCTAGAAGAATCTAGAAACGACGCTTGCGAAGAGTATATAAGCTCACGTCGCAAGGAGATTAGCGATTAGTGAAATTCGTGATTTTGTAAATTCGTGACTCTGTGATTTTGTGAATAGCGATTCGGTGAATTATTTAAAGCGATATTTGATTTGTTTTGTTGACGTTGTCATAGCGATAGATTTTGAACAATTTAAAAGTTAATTGTTGTGTTAATTTGAATTTGCTAGAAATAAACGTTGATTTCTTCTGTAAATAAAGGTTAATAACTAATAACTGTTTGGAGTATTTTATTCAATCGAAGATTTGAACCCGTCGCATCGTAAATCGGTTACGACAGCGAGTATTATAACAATATAAAAATGACATCAAAGAATATCAGCGCAAAGAAAAATCATTGTTTAAATAACTTCAAAAAAATTTTTTTCTTAATTTATTCAAAACTGGTTTGATGTAATTTAATCTCATGTAATTTGAAATTAGTAATTTGGCTCTTTTATCAAATGTAATTTGTATCGAAGTTACAATATTTAGAGTATTTTGTAATTTGTATCGAAATTACAATATAGTGCCCATCTTTGTCAGCTACCCAAAGAAGCGATCAGGTTAGCATTAAAAAATATTTTCCGGTTCTGTTATCTGTTATCAAGTGATGATGATTAGTCTACATATTTTTAAGCAATTACTTCATATTCGCTAGGTGCAAAGTAAAATGTTTATTAGATAATTTTTTTCCAAAAAATATAATTAACACAAATAAACTTTCATTTAATTTAAATTACTCAAAAAATTATTTGTAATAGCTTAACAATTGTTGGCTAAATTTGAAGTTATTAAAATACCACTGTCATAAAACAAACGTTATTATATGATAAAAATGTATTGTTCTCTTATCAAATTGGTATCGGTCGTGGGTTGCCGCCGTTGTTCATCGTGTTCCAACGTAGTGTCGATGTTCGGCCGTCCGTCGGGGAACCCACGCGTAAGAGATGGTTCGCGTGCGGGCGTGTTCGCGTCTGTGTCGTGTGGCTCCAGAGACGCTTTCAAGATGTTGAAAGTGTCAATTTATAAGCAATAAGATTGGTGCAGTTATTCAATCGATGATATCCATTTGCGACTGTTGGTCGTTTGAAAGTTAGTTATAAAAGATGCGTATGCAATTTTTTGGATCTAAAATTATAAATATCTCATAGTCGTTTTTTATTAAAAAGAGGTTCATCGTATTAGGCTTTCGGATGAGGTTACGAGCACAAAAAACGCCACACACAGAATCATCTTTAGCTGCAAGAAAAAGCATACCTAGACGAGACGTTCGTCATTCTCAACAAGAGTGTGAACGATTACAATTTTCAGTACTTCAGTTACGTCAGGGTCCTACCATGAATTTGATAGTTACAATACAATGCATATATTTGAGAAAAAAATTATTTAACTTTCGAAAGAAAAATTTTTATATAAAACAAATAAAATCAGATTTGTTTTTATTTTTTTTATTTCTAAAGTAATTAACATACCAATTATTATCGCTAAAAGTTTCTACATATCTACATTTGTCTGAGAATTTCAAACATCATTAAACAGTGAATCACAAAATGGCGTGTGATGATGACAACGTGCCTACTCGAAGCCGCGTTCAAATGTTTAACTAGCAGTCCATATTTAAACTGTAGAGTAACAAAATTGCTTATGACAATAATAATGATCAAACATACGACAGTGGTGATGCAGTCGAAAGAACTTAATTAACACCTTCCTACGTAAATCTATGGCGCGGATAACACTTATTTGCAAATACAAACCGTTGACTTAGAAATAGTTAGAAATCATTGAACTCACATTTATAACCAGAATTTAATTATTACGTTAAATCGTCTAACTTGACGTAAGCAAACAAAATGTACACTCGCGCAACGCCACAACAAACCTTAAACGGTGATTAAAAAATCTTAAGATTAATAACGCAACAAACGAGCAAACAAAAAAGATACAAATGTGATTAATCAAATGTTTGTGAAAAAGAAAACGCTAGAACGTTAACATGACATTAGAGGATGGCGAACGATGATGTGTCAACACGGGCAATTGTATGTAGTTATCATTAGCATGAGAAAACAACGAAAATAATCTAGGTGATGATCAATAAACAATAATACCATTAATTTATTTAACAATAACAGTAATTAAAATTGATAATGATATGATGATGATAGATGGAATGAAGCAAGGCATTCAATATACTTTAGAAATAAAACGTGATGTTACACGCTCAAGGTAGTTTTCGATGGTTGGTTGGTTTAAATCAAACTTTGCTTTGAAATATATTGAAATAGATAACAATAGATAACAATTTGAAATCTAATCATTGATAATATGTGCTCACTGTTTTGCTCGTATTTTAAAAACTTTTAAATTCAAAACTGATGTTATACAACAATGTACATCCGCAGTTTTGACGCAAGTTGATGTGATGAAATGATTCGTATGTCAGTCAACATGATGTAATGAAATGAAATGTAATATGATGCTAAATAATTTGGCGCATGTATCCTGAAAACGCAATCCAAAAATTAGGCATAAAATCACTGGTAAATGGAAGCTACTACGATGCATAAACAGTTTTGTGCTTGGAAAGTCTAAATAACTTTCTCTTACGTTGTTGAACACTGTCACCGACAAGCAGAACTTTGAAGTAACAATTGTTCACGTGCTTTCAATGAGGAGAACATTTACATCAACTGATCAGTAACACAATGTAATAAAATGTCGATATTCCGATACTAATAAAATAAAAACAAAATAATAATAATAAAATAATATTGCAACCAGACATCGCACAAACAGCTGGAAATTAACTAGTGTTAAATGAATGCTCCAGAGAGCAAATGAAGGAACGATGAATTTTTTGTTTGATTCGACGGATGCAAAAGAGTTGATGAACTTGTAACATGAAATATTAAAATCAATAAATAAAAAACTTTAAAAATTAACAAATAATTTAAAAAAAAACAGGATTGAATGATTGGTGGAAAATTTATGAAAGAAACGTTCATCTACATATTATTTACACAAGATTGAAGAAATGTTACAACAATGTTTCTTACAATGCGAGATCCGATTTGAGCTCTGGCTATTAATTTCTATTTTAAATACAAATTTGGTACACTATATATATATAACAATATATATATAAAACATGTATATTGACATGATTGCACCGGTTAGCAGTTCCGGCAGTGGCGACAAACGCGACTGGCAACGGTGGCGACAAACGCGACTGACAACGCCACAAATCAAGTGAAGTTAATATTGCATTGTAGGAGTTGCAACAGGATAACACGCCGAACATCTACATCATTTTGGTGAAAAATTACGTCATTCAATTTTCAATCGCAAACTTCAGGAGAGTAAATTGCGAGTCAGTACAAAAAGTTCTTTGAATGATTTGGTCACAAGTTGATGCAGAAGAACCACCCGCCCACACACAATTCTTATAAATTAACAACAACAATACTCTCCCACCGTCATCACCATCTCCCTTCAACAACAGCCACAATACTCACAAACTCAATTTATATATATATATATATATATATATGGTGAGAGAGAGAGAGAGAGAGAGAGAGAGAGAGAGAGAGAGAGAGAGAGAGAGAGAGCGTATATTTATAATAACTGTGTGCATGTTGTTAGCTATCAATTGGCGCATAACACAAAAAGTACTGATGTAGCACAGAATGCACAAAGATCTGTTGAACATTAGTGTAGAAAGCCAGCAATGCAAAGTTTGTGAGGTCATTGTTAGAAGTAAATGTTTTTTTTTTTGTTAATCTGATGTTAAATGGTTAATAAAAAGCCATTGAGTCATTTGAGCAACGTTCAACTTTATTATTCGCGTAAGCGACAAGGTGACGGTTGGTAACGAACTGTAACGTCTTGAAACAAACTGTGACGTGTTGTATCAGAGTGAGTGCAACGTCCTGGAGTATACTGCAACATAGTGTGACACAGTAAGAAACGAACGAACGATGATTATGATATAATCAATAATCACTAATGAATGAATGAATGAATGAAGGAATGAATGGATGAATGAATGGATGAATGAATGAATGAATGGAGGTCAGAGCTTGATTGATTGTCGATTCCACGTAGAAGAATGCAGAGAATAGTGAAAGATTGTTATAGCGTGTGTGCCCTAGTTACATGTGCCACGTAACATCGCAGGGTACTGATGCAACATGGGTGTTGTACTCACATGAAGTTCTTATGCATTCAAGTCCTGTGAAGTACATTTCTTCAAATTTGTACATGATTCAAGCAAGCAAGTACACAACTGTGCATGTTCAAACATCCTCATGCCAGTTATTGTTAGCAAGTCAGCATGCTGTTGGAAGCTAACGAAAGATATAATTGGCGTTGTTGTTGTGATGCATCTAATCGGCATACTCACAGTGAACGTTGAACAGCAATCGAATTCTAAATCTTGTTTGCCTCAACCAACAGACGAACAGCAATCGAATTCTAAATCTTGTTTGCCTCAACCAACAGACGAACAGCAATCGAATTCTAAATCTTGTTTGCCTTAACCAACAGACAAACTGCAGCAACCAGCCATTCACCTCCATCATGAACAAGGCAAGTCACAACAACCACACTCCCATTTATCAGGAACCACTGAAACACAGCAGAACAGGAAACAATCACACAACATTCAGACGAGACATGAATAGAGTTGAGTTACGTATCTTCCGTGATGAGGCTTGCATATTTGTTGTGCGTCGTGCAGCTTCAACCATCTAGTAAACATTAAACATCACTAAACTGATGCAACCACACGCGTGGAATCTAAACGAAAATATTTAAATAACAGAGAAGAAACAAGCCTGTTAATCTGAACTAATTATAAAGTTTTTTTTCTATTCTTAAATATTATCCCCATTTCATCATCATTTTATCATCATCGTCACTTCATCATCCTATTGTCCCCTCCTCAATCAAAATAATCAGTACCTCGAAGTTTATTGAAATAATATATTCATTAATCTCCAACTTATACATGACAATTCATCATCGTATTTGAAGTAAAACGCAATGTAAAGAAGTAAGCACAGATGCTATATCACAACTAATCGAAACGTCGTAACGTAAACAACCACGAGGACAACAACAACAACGACAACAACAACGACAACAACGACAACAACAACAACGACAACAACAACAACGACAACAACAACAACGACAACAACAACAACATGATGTGTTTTGAAAGGAGAAGGAAACGTGAAGGGCGACGCAGACGAGCACGGTTGCTGCTATACGATGGCGTGCTCCAACATCTCCCTCAACAGTTTATGCAGGACGATACTGTTGTCGGAAGCGATGGCCAGCCAGAAGTCCCTCATGACGAACCTGGCGTGGATGATGAGTGGGAGGATGAGGAGGAGGTCTGACACCCTCTGCGGGAGGTTCGAATCCTTGTGGCAGCCTTCGTAATCCAACAATCCATCCAACACATTATCCCGTTGTTGCTGTACGGATTTCACATCTTCAAGACTCGTGTCTGAAGATTTTCAATTATTACATTATTTAATTTAAAAGCTTTCCGGCATACAAGATTTGAAACTAAGCATTACTTATTATCAACCACGGTAGCACATTAAACAATAAAGAGCAGCAAATAAATAGCAGCCAATGAAGATTGAGATGGAGCAAGAGCCTACCTGGATTGAAGAGGAGGAGCGCCTTGATGAGTAGGTACTCGTCGTAGTTCACTTTCACCTCTGCCAACTTCCTGATGAGCCTTCTGATGACACGATCCAGTTCTCCAGGAACTCCGTAGACACAGGCATCACCTTCCGTCAGTTTGAGATCATCGGCGAAAATGATATCGCCATCGTACGGCAGACTTCTGTAGGCCACGTTCAAGCAAACGATATCCAGCCATGTCGATCGGAGCAGGTTCATCTGGTCTTGCAGACTCAAAGTACTGAAATCTGGTGGTTCATAAAAAAAATTGGCGTTAACTTCATTTGAGTTAATAATCTTTAAGCCGCAGAAATGCATGTATTTTATTTATATATTGATATCAACAATAATGATTGGATGAATAAAATTATTGACCAGATATCTGTTACATCTTAATAGAAGAACATTTTGTTTCCTTTAATAATACACAAAACAAAAGACGCAGTGATTCGTTTTTAAGACGTCTACTATCACAAGCATTTGAACACCACCCCCTCGGCAGATACAAATGCTCTCCGAGCTCTCAGTAACACAGAACGTGCATGAGCTTTTTTACACAAGCAATTGTAATGGCGCAAATGTTCTCATTTTGATTCAGACAACAACAAATATTTGAACGCGCAAGCACCCCCGACACACAGGCCCGCACGCACGCGCCCATACACACCTTGCATATACCAAAGTTAATATTGTTGAACGCACAAAACGTCGTCAGTTAAACCATAAAACATCGACACAGAAATATGAAATGTTTGTGAATTAGTAGAAGTAATGTAAGCAGCAGGTAGGCAGGCAGGTAGGTAGGTAGGTAAGTAAACAATAGACATGCACTGTAGATGTCTACAAAGCCCGTGAAAATCGCTGTAGCAAAGACGAGCTCTATAGATAGAATTGATTGCAGCATGGTTTTATTTGCAGACATCATCATTGAAGTGTGAACATTATCACCACCAGTGCAACTCACATGCACGTTGCTACGGCGCTTGCTGCCGAGGTCGATAAATGCTACAACATTTTCAATTTTTAATGGTACCATTCTCACGATGTTTATTTCATTCAATACTTTAATACCCAATTGCAACCTTAACAGATAAACATCATCATTCTTATCAATGTCATCCTCATCATCCTCACCACCGTGTCATATGCAAGCGACAGTCGCAATAACGTAAATCAGAAGAGCACGATTGGAATGATGCCAATGAAGTAATTAATTTATGGCCCGACCACAGCCTGGAAGATGAAGCGAAGCAGCAGCAGCAGCAAAGGGACGAGGAGAAGCAAGGCGTGCATGCATCTGATGGGCGATGTAACCTATCGTTGTCGATATTTTAATTGAGACTAATTCGATAACAGTATTTAATGGCTTGTTTGTATGCATTCAAGGCAGCGTAGTTTAAAAGAAGTATGAAAAATATTGGATTTATTGCAGGGGTGGGCAGTTGGGCACACTTTCTTTCAAGGGTCACATTGAGAAAAAAAGAGAGAAGTAGCGGGCTTTGAAGGGCACATGCACACACACGCACATACAGACATATTATATATATATATATATATATTTTTTTATCTATTTTTATTTATTTATTTTTGAAGGATGACCAAAAAAGATAAACTTGTGGATAGGCCACCCTTAACTAAAATTTCTAACTATAGATGTAACAGAAATGTCATGAAATACATACACATAAACTCACGCTCACACATACTTACAAACACGCAACATACTACAATTCATATCACATTACTGTTATACAGAACTGAAGAAACAGAATCAATGAAATGAAATGATCTGGAAACCAAATATACGCTCACTTACACACTCAAATAAATAGACACATAAACAAATATGGCCACACACCATACACATATAGGGCTCGGCCACATGTCTCAGGGAACAGCCGAGTGAATGGACATCTTACACATAGATATGTGCCCCTCCACATACACCCCCGCTGTACCTTGGTTAATGCTCCTAGAATACAATATTTATATACATATATACACATATCTACACATACACATGCACACACGCACACACACAGACACACGCACACCCACACACACATAAACACGCACACTCACCTAAACACACACACGCACACTTACCCACACACACTCTCACGCAAGCACTCCCGCACACACACAAACACACACACACGCACCTATACCCACCCTCAAACACACACACACACATACATATTTCGTCGAACCTGATCGAATCTCCCAGATTGTTAACGACCCGGCAGACCCAACCAAGCCCAACATAATTCATATTCCTAAAACACGCTGCCTGAATACACAGATACATACATACCTATAAAAATTCATAATGATTTAAATATGAAGTATATTTACTACAATTACACATTAAAAATATCATTTATGGAAACATATGAAAACCGTATACACATGATAAGTTGGCCAAATGATAAGAAATTCTTGTTCTAGTAAATAATAAATGTAAATAAATGTTGTTCAAAAAAAGGTGACTATGATACATACAAACATAAACACACCCAACACACACCTGACACACACACTCACCCACGCACACACACATACATACAAAATATGATTGCCTTTTTGATATCAAGTTAAAAAAAAAGTATTTTGCTCAATCAAAAATTTTTTGACTTTGTTTTTAAATAAATGTTTTTGACATATATTTTTAATTTCTATGTTAATAATTTCATCCCAAACTTTTGGACCAGAAATTTTTAAGCTATTATTTATTATTTTCAATCTAGAATAACTGGGATAAAAAGTTGATGCATTCCTTAATACTGTTACAGACGTGAAGGCGAGATAAGAATTGGTAATTAGAAATTTAAGTGAAGCGCTTGATAATTTAATTAAAAAGGCGGAGCCAATGAAAACGGTTGTAAAAGTCATGTGATGCACTCACTAGCAAAAAGGCGTGAACGATTGGAAAGTCACGTGACGCGGCATCACCAAAAGAGAAAGGGAGAATAGAAAAAGGAAAGAGAGATACAGAGAGAAGAGTGCACGAAATAGCAAGGAACGACGAAAATTATGAAGAAGTCAGAAGAAGTTTCAGGCAGTCCTATTATCGCAGAGATATTTTGTGTGCGTACTGCAAACAAATTAGCGATAACGCCCAAGGAGAAGTTTGTCGCGAAGAATTCTACACGCGGTCTGCGAGTGAATTACAATAATCTTCTGAGAAGTGGATACTTAGGATTTACGGTCAAGAAACATCTGACGAGAAGAGCTTAATTATTGACGATTAGTTTTATCTTGTGATTTAACTGTTGATTAGTTATTGTTTTGTATTCTAACGATTTTAACGATCGAACGAACGAGTGATCGATTACGGCAATTGCCAGCTCTGTTTTCTTTCTAATAAAGTCATCTAAAATAAGTCTGTTTAGGAATCAAGAATCCGCGTAAAGAGAAATAACCATACCCTACAAGTGCAAGGGTTCGGTTATAACAACTGGTGTCAGAAGCGAGATTCCGAATAGACAAGAAGATGTCGAAGAGTGAAGCTACAGAGACTGATCGAGTCACACGTTCGAGCAGCACTCAGCAGACAACAGACGATAACGAACACAGATCAAATTCTAGTGGGACGAACAACAGGAATTCGTCCGTGTTTGGCATGCAACAAATAATGCAAATGCTCACCGAAATGAAAGCCGATGCCGATCGTCGAGCGGAAAAGCAATCCGCTGATGCCGACCGTCGAGCAGAAATAAGCAATAAACAAAACGCTGATTTAACGGCCAAAATCGACAATCTAACGATTTAAAGAATATCAAAAACGAAATATTAAGCATCAAAAATGACCTAAACAATAAAATAGATGAAGCAAAAACCGAAGTAAACGAAAGGGTCGATGAGTTAGAAAAAGAAATAAAAACGATGAAAAGAGAATTAGAAAAAAAGAAAGAAACGTCGGACACGGTCATGCCCCAGCCAAAGCAATGAAAGCACCGACATTTGACGGAACGGTGCCTTGGGAAAATTATCAAACACAATTCGAAACAGCAGCGCTCAACAACGAATGGTGCGAAAAGGACCGCGCAACGGCGCTAGTGCTTGCACTTAGAGGCCCAGCACTAGAGGTACTACAATCGATACCTGCCAGTGACCGGGACAATATCCAGGCCGTCACCAGCGCGCTAAACCGTCGATACGGAAACAAATACAACACGGGATATTCCCGTACACAGTTAGAACACCGTGTACAGAAGTCGGGAGAGTCAGCCCAGGAGCTAGCTCAAGATATTGAGAAGCTGACTCTGCTGGCATACCCAACAGTTTCCCCAGAAGTCAGGGATAGTATGGCGACAACAAGATTTATACATGCCCTACGAGATCAAGACACGAGGTACCAACTAATCTCCTCAGGGATCGAGACGCTCAAGGGAATCCTAGAGCTGCACACAAGACTAGAGTCAGCAAAATTAACGTGCAGAAACGAACTTAAAGTAAGACGAGTTTACCAGAATAGCCGGTGGGTAACAGGAACGAATGAAGAAGAAAGGGGACCAGAATGCTGGAACTGCGGAAAAATGGGTCATTTGAAAATAAACTGCAAACAGCCCCGGAAACACAACACTTGGAGGACGGGCCGGAAAAAAGAAGACGATGGAAACTTCACAAGCAAGGCACCCACCACTGCAACGACGGAAAACGAGTAAAAGCCAACCTCACGGGGCCGAGGTTGGCTGGTAGATTTAACGTCCCCAGCATAACGGTAAATGTGTCGAGGCTACACAAAAATGCCAACGACCTCTGGTTAGAAGGGAAAATAGGGTCACGTCAATGTGTAGTCACTATAGACACAGGAGCAACAAGATCGATCATAAGACCAGACATTGCACCTCACGGAAAACGAGAAGAAGACAAGCGATACACACTTAGAACGGCGACAGGAGGAACCGCACCCGTCTATGGAGAAACTTCCTGTATACTACATATAGGGGACCTGGAATTTGAAGGAGCATTCCTAGTGGCAGACATCACGGATGAATGCATTCTGGGGGTCGACCTTATGACAATGTACGGTTTCAACATAGACCTAGAGAAGCGCATCCTCCGATGGAAAAATGTAGAAGTGATGATGGGGAGAGACGAAGAAAAATGCGTTCGAATAAGAGTGGAAAAGGATACTGCAATACTTGGCGCATCAGAAAACACTGTATGGGCAAGACTGGACGGCAAGACAGAGGCCTAACGGGTGTGTTTGGTCGAGCCAGTGGCGCTTGACACTACGAACGTG